GATCTGATTTCGTGAGTAGGTGACGTGATCTGCACTAAGAGACGATTGGATGACACAGACACTGGATGTGGTGGCCGCGGGGGTTGAGATGGCCTCTTAACTGAGGAGCAATGTATGATGGTCATTTCCTGGTGTGACATTTTGCAAGGCTGGCTTACTTGCTTGCTTTTGTTTGCCTTTGGAACCAACATATTGTGTGTTTTCCAGAGCACACTTCAGCATAAAACCTTCACTTAGCCTCAATTAATATGTGTGTGTGTGAGTCCATATGTTAGGGTGAAAAATGTGACTGTCAGCTTGGACGTAAGAAGATCACAGGTAGATCTCGACTCAGTCTGCCTAGCTGAAGTAAGAATCAGATGTGTGTGTGTGTGTCTGTTCACGTCTGGCAAGAAAGACAAAATGCGCCAAAATGCACTCTTTTTGCCATCCTCGAGATGCTTTCTACTATAGCTCTTGCTCCCATGTCTGCAGCCAGTCAGAGACATTCTCTACAGCCTCTTTTAAGCTCCGCAATACCATCTCAGCACCTCATGCTATGTTCGCTGCATATCCACGCCTCCTGGTAGAATAACTAAAGAATGGTTATATTCCACCCAGTGGATGGACTAGTAAAGATAGGATTTATACGTCATCGAAGACCAACAAGACCACAACCCAACTCGTGTCTGGTTTAAGTCCAAAAGACATTGCAGTTTAGGACGATGACCCGAGAACAACCAACATATTCGTAAGACTACGATGGTAGCCACTCCACAGAATGGAGTACAAGAGTGCTTGCATGTATATATAGATTTATGTACACAAGCATTTATGTATAGTCGTTTGTTTATTTGTATGTATGCACGTATGTGTGAATTTATGCACACGCGAATATTCGTATTAATGTACATATGTATGCTTATTTGTCTGCTTGTTAGTTTGGTTGTATTTGTATGAGCAGTTAGTTACGTGTAAGCTTATAAAGATGCAATTTAACGCATGAGTTTGTCTGTATATCAGTATATGAAAGTCGTTCAAAGATATAGCAAGTGGCCAGAAGACAAGGCTCTCGCATAAATATGCTCATCTAAGCCATCCCAACATAGCTCCGGTTCACTTTATTCACTCTCGTAAGACAGGTTTGGTTTCCTTCTCTTAATTTCCTTCTTCTGATCACCACAGACCGATCAGAACAGCTTCAATCGCACTATTTTACTGGACCTGAACGAACAGCGGCACTAACTGCTGGCGGTTGAGGAGAGAACTGCCTTCGTAGATATTAGCTGACTGATTAATAGGACTTCTGCATTGGCGCGTATGCTAGTGGATTTAGGAAAATTAAGGTGTTGCAAAGGTAGGGTTCCTTCATCGGTCTTCGTACTGGTGTATTCGCCCTATTTCCCTTAAAGTGATAAGGGGAGTTGTAGTTGAATTTTCCCACAATGCTACGAGTAGACATGACATTTATATTGATTTTCACATAACCTAGCTTCCCCAATAGGGTGAACTGCAGTTTCGACCTCGCCTTAACTTGTCTTATCAACAACCTCAGCGGGACTCAAACCATGACAGTACAGCGTGTAATCTCGGCACTTTTGCCACTCCGCCACATTGCCACAAGTGCCCTTGAGTTGCAGGGCAGATGGGAATTCAAAGGAAGGTTAGACCAGGCCAGGCCACCACATTCTGTGGTGGGATTGTCGATGAAGCAAACTTATATCTGCTATAGCAATAGGCGACACTACTTATATTTCGTTTTGAGTAGGTTGTTTATACTACCAGTAAATCATGTATTTGAACTGTATTCACCATATTTTGTTTAAGCGGATGAATAAATGGTTAAAGTGTCGAGTGAGAAGCAAGGCCATGCGAACTCCAATTGAAACATCATATCAACTCATATAATTGTGAAACAATTCACCTTAAACGGAATATGGTGAACACTGCCCATTCCTTTGGTCGAGGGCTATAGGCAAGACACCAAAGGGGAGTCGAATGCAAGGCTGAAATCTGGACTAATTAGAGGTAGATTGGGCAGATGGAAACTTTGATGATGCTGTTTCCCCATCACTCCGATCTCAGTTGCCCTCCTAAACAGGCAGCACCAATAAGGATTAGTTTATGGTTAAGTTCACTTTCATTTCAAGGGGATGTGTGGGGTGAAGATCCCACCGGAAAGTGACAGCGGTTTCCGCTTGGAAAACTGCCGATTGGCTTTTCTGGAACATTCTTGTTGATATTGTCCCTGAGGCGATATTCATCGATTCTGGTGAAAATGTGCTAGGATTTGATTCGTCGTATGTCAAGCGAAAGCATAGCGCCTTATCGTCAGAATCGAAGGAGATTACCTCGGACACAGTCTCAACAAGAATATTTAAGTAAGACCAATTTACAGGTGGCCACGAGGAATCCGCATTCGTCTTCTGGTGAGATCGACTTTCGAGTCTCTTCATCACGCACTTGAACCCGATATGGAAGCGAGCTCAACAATTATAAACCAGGATATTCCTTGAAACTCAACTTTAGTTTGCATTTACTGGGATTGAATTATAACTTAGTAACTCCATGGCCACTCTATGGTAGAATCCTTCACACAGTGATGCGAATAGGCCTTACGATACCATTGAAGCTTGCTTAGTTTTGCCCCCCCCCCAAAGGTTTTCTAATCCAGGATGGAGAGCGGTTTCAACATTGCCTAGGCCTCATTAGCATAGCCTGTAGGTTTCGAAATAAAGGTTTTTGCGCTTCGTTTCCACTCTAACAGAGGGTCACAGGGCAGATGTCTTTTTCAAGGCAAGTCAGGTATCGCCAAAATCATATTTATATTAGGAATGTCGATGAAGCCAACATGTATCTCCTATTTAATTCAGTGACGCAAAGTATTCTCTGTTTTTCCAAACTATCAGCAATTGTTGAATATTCATCATTGACCACTTAAGGTGATTAAGGAATTTTTCAACAACGATGGAAGTAGGCCCAAGTTCATATTCAAGTATTCGTTTCTAAAATAACTACCATTGTCGAATAGAATGACAAAACATATTCATACTAAAACTAAAATATAAGCTTGCTTCATCAATAAACCCACTATAAATTTGATTTTGGAAAGGCCTGATCTGCCTTGAAAGTCACATCTACCCTGTGAACCATTGCCCTCCGCAATAGTATAGCAGATGATTTATTGCAAATGGATTTTTGGCTGTTGGTTTTTTATTTTTTATTATTAAATCATTGAAATGATTGAATATAAAGCAAGAAGTTGCAAAAAGTAGGAAGATAAGAATAACGGAGAGAATCACTAAATTTGCCTATTTAAACTGCAAGTCGGAATCTGACCAACACCAATTTGCTATAGCCGTTCACCAGTTTCAATCGATTTGAGTATTGGGCCGATACCAACTCTGTGGCGGTGAAGTGTAGGGAAGGCATGATTTATGCATTGAATTAAATTTTACCATGCCTCCCAGAAGATTGTTTTCAGCTCCACGTTGGACTGCAGATTCGACCTCAACTCATCTTCCCATCAGGACCCCCAACGGTTCTCGAATAGTAAATGTGGTTGTATGGCGTAGGGCGAAGCGGGTTTGCCTCTTAAGCAATGAGTCCATTGTTCGAACGTATTGAGGACGCTGATTAAAGGGTAGGGCGAGGTTGAAGATAAGGTCCAATCCGGATGAAAAGGCTCGTAATCAGGCCTATTTATTCGATTGTGGGAAATTCGACAATGACCTTATCCGTTCCAGGGCGACTCGATGTCTCATTTCTATTTATTTATCATGCTAGCCCCGTAAGTAAGCCCAACTATTCAACATCATGCTGCGATTTTAGCCTCGTTTCTATGGCTCAATATTTGACCCGTTACTAGGGCCTTGGTAACGTTGAATAGAAAATCAATTGGGAGCGTATGACAGATAGATGAAATTGCAGGTCAGTCCTTTTCTCCTATGACATGAAAAGTGCTGACGGTGACTCTGCCTTCAAGGATTTAAAGAGGACTTTATGTAACAGTGAATTCTATGCATCCAAAACTTTCGTTATACTGCAGTTTTGGCATAATCCTAGTCTTATCAGCACCTCAATATGAATTCTAACTTTGTACATGGAGATTTCTTAGACAAACGCTTTACTATGTAGTTCATTGCAGGACGTTGAAGACATAACAGGCCACACAATTGCAAAGCAGCAGCTTAGTTGAAGTGATTTGACAGCAGAATGTCCAGTTATTATACGGTCACCACTCAACTATGCACACTTTAGTAACTCTTAAGCTCTTTTCGGTTGAGAGCTACAGTCGCCCTGGGTCGATGGAGGTGATAAGAGGTTGATGGTGAATTTTCCCAGTGAGAGGAGTAGACCTCAAAATGCATTTGAATTTCATCAAACTTTACTTCCTAAAGGCATTCTCATCCAGGATTTCTCATTTCGTCTGAGTGGAATTCAATGGTATCGGGAGGCCTGCTCATCTTATTTTGGCAACATTCACTATCAGTCCTTCATCACCTGAAGTGTCCTAGGGTGAATAAGGCTATTGTTCAAGATCTACTGATACTCTCGAAATTCTACTAAATACGAATACTTTTTTGGTTATTCATTACAGACTATATCCGAAAACGTCATCCCCATTTGAAGACAGGCTCAATTAACTTGTGCATGACCGATGTCTGCGTGCAGGCTCGTCGTGTTGCTAACAACCAAAGGACTAGAGGCCCAACTCCTGCTGTGCTAACTGGTAGCGGGTTTCACGCCGTAACAACACAAGCCGGTCAAAGCCATGCGTCAGCCCAGTCCCCATTGGTCACTTCGCAGTTAACTCAGCCTATATCAACTCCTGCATCAAGTCCGACTCCGGGACTGAGTCCAGGCTCGAACCCGGATCCAATTGCTGGCATGAGCCCGAATGTGCAGCATGCACGCGGTCCGCAACAGATTCTGCCCGTGACAGCAGCTGTCTCCACACTTCCACTGCCATACTCGCAGTTCACACCAGCCAAAGGACAGAAACGGTCACGCAGAGAATCGTTTTTCAGACGTCAGAACGAAAAAAGCCTTCCGGCCGATGCTAGTATGTACAATAAGGAAGAAGAGGAGCGGGATGAAGATGGGGAGGAGAAAGAAGGAGAGAGACCGGAACAGGTTAGGTATTGGGAGCAGTCAACTACAGAGTTTAACAAGATGCCCAACATGCGATTCAGCGAAAAAGCGCCTCAACGAGTGTGTCCTGTGGAAGCTGATGAGGATGAATATGAGGGTGATGGGGAGGAGGAAGGAGAAGGGGAAGGAGAGGAGGGGGCGGAGGGAGATGATGAAGAAGAAGAGGTCGAGGAGGAGGATGATAACGATGCCGTAAGTGGCGGAGATGAGGGAGAAAGACTGACAAAAGAAGCGAATGACCAGGAAGAGAGAGCATCTGATGACAGTGAATTGGAGATTGAAACAGTGACCGAACCGATCCGGAGACCAGTAGCCGTCTGTCACCTACTCAATCTTGTTCGCGGTCAATCGTCGACAGGCTCACAGGAAGCCAGGCTTTCAGACAAACATGACACATGCAACACCAGCCTCGACAGGCTTGGCAGTACCTCAACAACACCCTCCATCTCTACCCCGATTGGCTTGACCACTGGACTGCTGGCCACTTCACTGTCCAGACTGATAACTTCGCCTCTGAAGCCTACTGGAGCTGCCTATTCTATACCCTTCAGTCTTTCTTCAGTCCTTCCGTCCGCCACACCACCCTCCTTTTCATTTGCCTCCACGTCCTCGGCTTTCGCATCGTCCCCCTCTTTGGTTCATTCCCTTTCCCTATCCTCTGCCGATCATTCTCCTTCATCCCATCCTCCGCCACCTTCCTCTTTGTCGCCCTCTTCCTTTTCCTCTTCCTCTCCAACCTCGTCCTCATCCTCGTCCTCATCCTCATCCTCATCCTCGTCCTCGTCCTCGTCTTCGCCTTCTTCATCCACCTCCTTTTTTTCCTCCTTCAAGAGAGTATCAACAGCCAGTTTTGCCTGTGCCCCCTCTGCAACAAGTGGCTCGGACCCGATCCTCCGGCAGCCTCCTGAAGCCTCGGGAGTGCATGACCCAGCATTTGGTTCGGCCAGACAGCTCATCTGCCCTCCACTGACGGTGCAGGCGTCTGGGAGCAGCAATCCGTCCTGTGGAGGTGGGCAGCCGAGGTTGTCACTCAACCGTGAAGAGGCAGTCGTCTGGT